ACATTTTCTTAGCATTGAGAAGTGAAACACTGGATGAATAAAGGACAACTCAGGAGGAAGTGCCAAATGATAAGCCACCGCTCCCACTCGGTCTAATATCTCATACGGTCCTGTAAACCGGGGGCTCAACTTGCCTCTTTTCCCAAACCGCATTACACCTTTCATAGGGAAGACTCGTAGGGACACTTTGTCTCCAATTGTGAACACTAATTCTCTTCTTCTCTTATCAGCATAAGACTTTTGTCTGCTTTGAGCTGCAAGCAATCTCTGTCTGATCAACTGGACCTTGTCCATAGCTTCTTGTACTAGGTTGGGTCCCAATAAGTTAGTCTCACCAGCTTCAAACCATCCGATAGGAGAATGACATCTTCTACCATACAATGCTTCGTACGGTGCCATTTGAATACTGGACTAGAAGCTATTGTTGTAAGCAAATTCAGATAAAGGTAGATAAGAATCCCAACTACCTCCAAGCTCAAGAATGCAAGCTCTCAACATATCCTCCAAGATCTGTATAGTACGTTCAGACTGCCCGTCTGTCTGTGGATGAAATGCAGTACTAAGATCTACTCGTGTACCCAATGCTTCTTGAAAAGATTTCCAAAAGCGTGAGGTAAATTGTGATCCTCTATCAGAGATGATGGATATTGGAACTCCGTGAAGTCGGACAATTTCATTCATAAATATCTGTGCATACCTGACTCCACCATATGTAGTCTTCACTGGCAAAAAGTGTGCTGATTTCGTCAGTCGATCTACAATCACCCATACTGGTCATAACCTCTAAGGGTTCGTGGTAGCCCGGTGACAAAATCTATAGTAATTCTTTCCCATTTCCACTCTGAAATCTCAATTTGTTGTAGTAGTCTTGCGGGTCGCTGATGCTCAGCCTTGACCTGCTGACAAGTCAAACAACTAGAAACAAAGTTAGCAGCATCTTTCTTCATACCTTCCCACCAATAAAATTGCTTCACGTCATGGTACATTTTTGTGGATCCAGGATGTATAGTGTATTTAGTGTTGTGAGCTTCTTTAAGAATAGCATGTCTTAACCCATCTACGTCTGCTACACATAGCCTGTCACCCATTCGAAGAACACCATCACTTTCAACAATCATATCCTTACTTTTACCAGCTAAGGCCTCATCTCTGTATTTGCATAATCGTTCATCCTCATATTGGGTGGCCTTAATGCGCTCAACTAATGAAGACTTAGCCTGAGCACAAGCCAACAATGCCTCTAAATTTCCGACACTAAATCTGATACCTGTATCTTCTAGTCTCTGAATATCCCTGGCCAATAGTCTCTTTGCAGGGGCTATATGTGCCAAACTCCCCATAGATTTTCTACTCAATGCATCAGCCACCACATTGGCTTTTCCAGGATGATACAAAATAGAACAATCACAGTCTTTGAGTAATTCCATCCAACGACGCTGCCAAAGATTTAGATCTCTCTGCTGAAAGATATACTTCATACTTTTATGGTCAGTATAAATCTCACAAGTTTCGCCGCATAGATAATGTCTCCAAATTTTTAGAGCAAATACCACTGCAGCCATCTCCAAATCATGTGTAGGATAGTTTTGCTCGTGCTTTTTCAATTGTCTCGAAGCATAAGCTATAACACGACCATTTTGCATGAGAACACATCCTAATCCCACCCTCGAGGCATCACAGAATACTGTAAATCCTCCAAAACCTGATGGTAAGGCTAATATTGGTGCAATTGTCAAACATGTTTTGAGTTTCTGAAAGCTCTGCTCACATTCCTCTGTCCACTGAAACTTTGCATTTTTCTATGTTAGCTTGGTCAGCGGCACTGCTGTTCTGGAGAAATCCTGCACAAAATGCCTGTAATAGGCTGCTAAGCTTAAAAAGCTGCGAATCTCTGTAGGAGAAGTAGGTCTGGGCCATTTCTGCACAGCTTCAGTCTTCTTTGGATCTACCATAATTCCATCCTTGGATACAACATGCCCCAGAAATGCTACCGAGTCTAGCCAGAATTCACACTTCGAGAACTTAGCATAAAGCCGATGCTCTCGCAATGTCTGCAGCACAGTACTGAGATGATCCTCGTGTTCTCCTTGGCTACGAGAATATATCAGGATATCATCAATAAATACTATTACAAATCTATCCAGAAACGGCTTGAACACCCTATTCATTAAATCCATGAATACCGCTGGAGCATTAGTCAGTCCGAAAGGCATCACGAGAAACTCATAGTGCCCGTATCGAGTTCTGAAAGCAGTCTTAGAAATATCTTCATCTTTGATTCTAAGTTGATGATAACCAGAACGGAGGTCAATCTTTGAAAAGCGGGCAGCTCCTTGTAACTGACCAAACATGTCATCTATACGGGACAAAGGATATTTATTGCGTATTGTTATCTTGTTCAACTGCCTGTAGTCAATGCACATTCTCAGGGATCCGTCTTTCTTCCTTACGAATAGTACTGGTGCACCCCATGGTGATACACTAGGTCTAATAAAACCCTTATCTAACAAATCTTGTAACTGTTGCTTTAGCTCCCTCAACTCTGCTGGCGCCATTCGATATGGGGGTATCGATATGGGTTGTGTGTCAGGTAGCAAATCAATATCAAAGTCTATTTCTCGTACCGGAGGCAATCCTGGTAAATCCTCAGGAAATACATCAGAAAATTCTCTCATTACTGGTACATTTTCTATACTAACTATTTCCTTTCTTGTGTCATTTACAATAGATAAGAGACCCAAGAAACCTTTCTTCAAAAGTCGTTGAGCTTTAATAAAAGATACAATTTTGCAAGTCTCTGGAACCTGACTCCCTCTTAGAATAAAACTAGGTTCATTTGGTATCTCAAACCTTACTATCTTTGCATGAAAATCGACTATAGCATAGCAAGAAGATAACCAATCCATTCCCATCAGCATGTCAAAGTCAATCATATCAAGTACAATAAGGTCAGCTAGAGTATCTCTACCCTCAACCCGAATCTGGCAAGCATGATACACGTATTCAGCTAATAGAGACTCTCCGACAGGAGTAGCAACTAGAAAAGGATCATTCAATAGTTCGGGTTGTCTACTAAATCTCAAAGCAAAGTACGAGGGCACATAGGAGTGAGTAGATCCCGGATCAATCAACGCAAGTGCATCAAATGAACAGACAGAAAGAATACCTGTAACCACTGCATTCGAGGCCTAAGCATCCTGTCTAGTAAATGCAAAAACTCTCGCCTGACCTCTACCAGCATTCCCTTGTCCTTGATTCACAGTAGCATGGTCTACAGCACCTCGACCTCTATTTCCTGTACCTGTAGCACCGAAGTATTACGAGTAGTCTGAGTCGGTGCAGCTGACTGAATAGAAGCCTGGTTGAAATTTCTCGGAGGCTGAGGGCAATCCCTCAAGTGATGTCCCAACTGGCCACACCGAAAGCACTCTCCAGTTAGAACACGACATTGGCCCAAATGTGATCTACCACAAGTCTAGCAAACCGGAGTAGTGGCATATATCTGCCCAGAATTACGATGTCCAGAAGATGATGGTCCCCTATTACCTTGTCTGTAATGTGGTCTATATGTGGACTGTGAAGACATGTGTGTCCCTGTCTGAGAACCATGTTGTTGTTGTTGTCCCTGCTTTCCTGCTCTTCTATTTTTACTAAAACCGCCACTGAAAGCCCCTCATGTCTTGGCCTTCTTACGTAATTCACTAGTTGCACGCTCTTCACGTCCCTTGTTTTCAATCTTTCTAGCAAGGTCGACTACATCAGAGTAGGATAAAGTCTTCATCTGTGGGGCTACTGCAGTGTATAGACGACCAACCAATCCATCAATAAACCTCTGAATTCGAGCTTCTTCGGTAGGCACTAAGTGAGAAGCATATATAGCCAGTTTACAAAACTTAGTGTTATATGTTGACACATCCATATCTGGAGTCTGAACCAATCTCTCAAAGTCTCTAGCATGTTGTTGCATCAGACTGTCTGGAAGAAAATGATTCTTGAACAACTTAGTGAACTCGTCCCATGTCAGTGGTGGTGCTCCTGCCGGCCTTCCTAGCAATACAGTTGCATACCATGTGTTGGCCATATCCTCTAGTTTGTATGCTGCGAGCTCCACGGCTCTCTCACTAGAACATCCAAGAGCACGTAATGCCTTAAGTGTCCCATCCAAGAAACTTTGAGGATCTGCTGAATTATCGGAACCTGTGAATTTTGGTGATATCAATTTCAGGAACTCGTGTAGGGATACTTCCTTATTCCCGAAAGTCTGAGTCTGTGCAGGTGCTTGTGTTTGTGAAGTAGCTTGAGGAGCTGAACTTCCGCCCTGAGTAGGCACCAATGCCTCTAACACATTCAATAACCTTGCCACTGCATCTGCAGGTAAGGCAACAGTAGGTACAACAGTTGGCACTGGTGGTGGAGTGTTCTGAACTCCCTGCTCTTGCACTTGATCTGGAATAATAGCTTGGGTTTGACCCATGTTCCCAACTTGAGGTTGAGGAGCAGTCTGTCTTCTATTTGATAAACCCCAACTTGACCGCCACCCCGGGTAGTACCACGTCCAGCACCACATCCAGCAGATGAGGGTGTGCATGTCCTAGCCATCTGTGAAAGAAATATTCCAAAGTAAATATCAAGTTATCTCAACGCACGATCAAAGAATGAAAGAAGGGAAAACATTCCTAAATGTTCAGTAGCCTCGAGATCATAAGTATGAGCGCCTACATACCCATGAACAAGACTCTACTAAACATTGCTCCATGACTCGGGACTTAAAGCCTAAGCTCTGATACCAACTTTATCACGACCCAATTAAGGATCGAGACCGGCTCTTAGGAGCAAGTTCTCCCAAGTAAGGCTCATCGGTAATTTTATAGAAAATCGGGCAGAGTTTTCCCTGTTTTTGGACAATCCCAAAAAATTTCCTGTCTCAAATCAGCGATCAAACAACCTAATAACATTTCAACTGGCAATTGACAACTTACCAATTAGCCAAAATAAGTCTCCACCATTACTAATCAACACACTAACAACCAGAAATACTAATTTATCTCCGACTTTGATAATAAAGAACGATACTCGACATAAAACTAATAGCAAAATAATACGCATAACACTAAAAGAATGACTATGGAGTGACTCTAAGAATTCAAAGAAAAGACCATAACAATTGATAAAAATCTCCGCCCACGCGAACAAGTGCGAGGCTCACCAAGAATTCTCAACCTGTGCGCTCTAATTAACGAAATCTTCGCCTACGTCAACTGCTGTCTCTATAAAAAAAATTTGCGGGGAATGAGTCGCTAGCTCAGTGAGTAATAATACTTAACCACAACCGTTTTTATTTGGGGACAAGTCAAAAAACATGCTAGTATATCAAACAGAAAACAACATAAAATGCCCTTTCAGAAACAATAAATAATTTTCAGTCTCATCACGCTTTTCTTGTAATATAATGTAATTAAAAATTCAGTAATAAGCTCGGTAACCACTGTATAATATCAGTATTCAGATTTTTCTTGTAATATAATGTAATTAACAATTCAGTAATAAGCTCGGTAACCACTGTATAATATCAGTATTCAGATTTTGGAAAGTTTCAATGAACGGATCATGTAATCGGTATAACTGTGGACTTCTTCGCAAGAAGTCAAATATATAACGGTAGTCCCTACTCGAGGGAAGTCGGTAACGGTATGCTAGTTCTACCTTCCCACTAGCGAGGGCTATAACGGTAATCTGTAATTACAAGGTACATCAGGTCTAACGAACCCGCCGTTAACTACGGGATCCTTCAATGTCTACTCCCATTTATACTTGTCTCTGTAATCCATATATACTCGTAGAAACTATTTTAAAACAATATAGCGCATTTCGGTTCTTATCAAATCATATAATTTCCTTTCGATAACAGTAAATTCAAGTAACTGTCAACAGATTTAGTGACAACGAAAATATTTAAAACCACGGTATTCATCTCAAATAACTATTTCGGTATCATATCGAGTAAAAGACTTGTCCCACATGCAACTCAAAATAATCGGTAACATATTCATATTAAAAATCATGTGTAAATCATGCAAGTTATGAAAACACAAATTGCGGTAAGATTACTACTCACAGTACTCGTGCCGAAATACCAACTGCTTCACCTCAAGCAACTCGTAAAAATTCCTCCAATCAATCTATAATTACATAATATCGATCTCATGTTAATTTTCTTATTTAGGCTAATTCATGGCTATTTTAGAATACCCAACCCTCGAGGTTTCATGTTTGACTCTTAATTTGCCCAGAATAATTCTTATTGGTATTTAATTTCTTATACCTTGTGAAACCCTTCAATTATATGAACTGAGATAAAAAGAATTACCAGAAGAAAAGAACCCAGATGAAAAATTCGAGTATTACCCGTAACCCTTTTTAAATTTGTAATGGGCTTCGGCCCTTTGTCTTACTTCCCTACTTTTTTTTCCTTTTTTCGTTTAGTTCTTATTTTATTTTTAATAGATGGTTGCTTATTATTATTATTATTATTATTATTATTATTATTATGCTAATGACCAATACACCCTTATTAAAAATATAGGGTATTACAATATGAAATGCTTATATATGTAATAGCGGAGGCCGGAGGCATAAAGCAACGTGCTTCTTTGATTTTCAGGCCCTTCGCAAGTTAATGGAGTCCACAAGTACATGAGAAATGTAGGGAGAAAATGAAACACTGCCGCTATACTGACAAATGAAAGTGCGAGAATTACAAAGACGACATCACCTGTTAAAAACGTCGCTCTTCATGGCTCAAGCAATATAACAACATTAGAGCCCTTCGGAGTTCTAGAAGGAAACAATTGTTATTATAAAAAAAATTATGGAAACAGGTCAGGATACTAAATTCGTGTTATTTTATCATTTGCATTAGATAAGAAAATATTGTTCTCATGCATTGAATAATTTCCATGCTTCTGCTAACTGTATTACTTTCAATTAATTAACCGTAAATGCAACTTATTATAACTTGCAGCCTTTGTGCACACCTTCTTGTAGAAGTGGTCTGCACCAATTTTTTCAGTTTAAATATTGTTTATGGCATCTATCCTTCTTAATATGTAACTTTAGCAGGAATTCTTTTGAATATTGTGACTCTATCAAGGTGATATGTGTTACCTTCTTACTATAATTGGAGAAGGTAAACCATAGAGATCCAATTGTTTTGGTTTCTTCCTTTATTGTGGGATCAGTCACTGGTTAAATATTTGCTATAGATACTTGCTCAGTTGAAAAAAATTGTGCGAGATATGGCTGTTATCTACCTACAATTAGCTAGGTATTTTGTGATTATCATGACTCATAAGCATGAAAACAAATAATAGAATCTTTGATTAAAAAATTCTAGGATCAATAAACATTGAGCTTCATTGCTCTACTTAAAATTCTATTAGCTCTTGAGTGTAGCTATAGTATCATCCGTATGGGAAGCTTAATCTATAAGCCCCTCCTCAAGGTGGCGAGTGAGTTAAAACAGAATCCAGTTAACTGTCAAAGCATTTACGTTTTGGAGATCACTTTCTTAATTTTCATCCATTTAATTTTCTTTTCCGTTTTGGATCTTTGAGAACAAAGCATAATACGTTAGGTAAAAAATTTCTTTTTATGTTCTGTTTACCTTTTATTTCCGTTAATTATTTTAGTGTATCATTACTTCATATTGGTCAAACTTACACGAGTTTAATTATTGCTCAGTGAGTAAAAGGTAGATAATTTAATATTATAATTTAATTATTTTTCTAATATTAAAAGCACGAATGCTCTTAGCAAAATGTCGTTCGCCTTTTTTATTTTTTAAAAGCAATAGCCATTTAATTATTACTGTATTCTATTATTTCGTAATAGTTATTGAATTATTTTCCTAATATTTAGGATTTCGAAATCGACTAAATTTTGTATATTAAATATTTCCTTATTAGCTATATAATTTAACAAATTTATTTTAAAAAGTTAGTAACAATTTTAATTGCGTAAGCCTTTTTTACATACTTTAGGTAAATATTTTGAGTATTTCAGTGACTTAAATTTAGAGGACTCTTTATATGGAGAAAGAAAAAGATTGAAACTGAGGTATAAGTTAATACGATAATTAATTGTATAGGTATCAATTAATGAGTATACATTTATAGATTAAGCACAAAGTCCTAAACATTTTAGGTTAAAATTTTGATAAATTTTTAAACTCTTTTCGGTCTATAAGTATTTTCTTTAAGTTGCTGAGTTGTATGATTGCGTTAAACCAGTCACTCTTTTGAAGATTTTCCTCTCTGTTCATTATTTCAATTTGCCTTCATGCGTAGGTACTTCATCATTCCTCAAATTTCTCCTTTTAATGTATATTTAATTTGTTTCGATTTTTTTTTTGACTTTTTGCAATTGTTGTTTGATAATTTATTGTGTCTTGAATTCAAACTAATTATGTTCTTTAGTGTCCAAACAGATATATATTAATTATCGAGTTATGTTCATTGTATAGATAGATAGAATACCTTATTGTTTCTTTCTTTGGAAATTATTTGAATTATTCGTATGAATTTTAAATTACTAATTCTATCTTTATGTGTGTTTTTCATGAAAGTGATAGGTCAAAAACTATTCTGCATAGCAAGAAGAATTATAGAGCAGTAAGTCTCTCTAACTGGTCTAATTTCTTTCATAATTTTTTTAATTTCAGTCTCTATTGTCATGATATATTATGTCATTTATCTACTAATTGATGATTATATTGTCATAAATATTAATTTTCATAATTAGAATGTGCTTTGCCAAATTATCTAATTCGTGACAATCAATAAGAGGTTTCGTATTACTTCAGTGTTGGAGCATGTTATGTCGCACCTTAATCATTGGCATTATTAAAGTCATATGTAAGGAAGAAATGACCATAGAAATTTTAAAATAATAAAGAATATAAGATAACGGACACTGAAAGTTTCAACATTTGTTATTTGCCGATATTTGTGAAGCATAAAGCTCTAATGGGTTGAATATTTTATTTTCTTGATTTTTTCGAATACATCTATATCATAAAAGCAACAAAAAATTGGAAAATAAAAGTATACTCTGGATTGTTAAAAAGAGAAATTATCGAGATACTAAAGGACAAAGAAGGTAGGCTATTATTATAACAAAGTATTTACCAGCGAAAGAATTAAAATTATATATATATTAGCTATTATTTCAATTTATCTATAGTTTTGTAACCCTACATCATATTCTTTTTTGTTGTATTTAGAATAACTTACAGTAGGATCTATTGATAGCAACAAGTCATGTTTAATTTTGATGTTGCATCTCAATTTTTCAATAGTGACAACAACTTGGGCTAAGTGATTCATTGGCAGAACACTTTATTTTTTCCGATCTCTCTCTCTCTCTCTCAATATTTTTTTGTAATGGATAATAGTTTGAGGTGCTACATATGAACAAAAATCTTCCTTAATCACTCCTGGCATTTTTGTTTCGATGGATGATTTTAATTTTTTTTTTGGTTCTTTATATTTAGATTTCAGAACATCATCAACTTCTTAGGACATTACACGCCAAGCGAGCAAAGTTCAAAAATCGCTCCAAAACTTTATTTTTTGGATAATTAAAAGTGTTTGGCAAGATTTTTAAGTGTTTTCAGAGTGAAAAAACTATTTTTCTTTGAAAAATATTTAATAATTTCTTAAAAATGACAAAATCTTCTTAAAAGAAATTTAACAAACACGCCTTCTAAAAAAAGGGAGTTTAAACAAAGACGTTAGTTCGAGCTACCCAGACAAATAAAAGTTTTTTATATTTTTATGAGATAGCTGACCTTTTGCTTTATTGTCATTATTTTCTATGGTTGCTACCAAACCTCTATTTTTGTTTCCAGACTTCCGGTCCGAAATTTTGATTTTGGTAGCAATGGCATTTAACAAGTTGTGATAGCATAACACTCAATAGTTAATATTGAGTTCACAGTTTGCTAATTCATCTAACACTTTTTAGCCTTCATTCTTTGTTTATACTTCATATACATGCTTTAATAATTTATGTAGTTTTTAAAAATTTATACTATAAGACATAATACACACGTGCAACGCACATACCCTAAAACTAGTGGATTAAAATATGTGTATGTTGTGTTTGAGGATAAATTTTTTCCTATTTCTTGAATATTGTATCTAATAGTTGGCTATAGTTGAAAATAATATCACTACAGGCGTGTAGTGCTCTTATGTTCTCTTTTGCAGATACTGTAGAGAAAATTATCCTGTTACCTTCTCAAAATATTGTCCTATTATGCACATGATGCAGTATTCTTTTCGTTATGGTGAAGTACATTTTCCCTATATGGAACATCGTTTTTATTGGTACCACATATAATTTAATAATAGCTGAATAATTACCTAATGTGTCGGGCCCGTGCGTCGGGCCCGTGCAATGCACGGGCAATCTCCCTCTAGTATAGACTAAATTTCAATCATTACAGTTTTATTTTATTCTTGTTCAAATATGAATTATCATTAATACTTTTAAGGCAAAGTGCAAGTTAGTTGTGGAAATTATTCCGTTCGAAGCTCTCTAGTTTGACACCCTTGTTTGGGACTTCACTGATATTTCAAGGCCTTGTCGTTAACAATCAAGTTTATGCTCCGACAATACTTGAAGTAGGGGCATTTGTAGACATATAAATTTTACTAAAATTTTGAATATGTAAAATGATTTGGGCTATATTTTAAATTCAAGATATATTGGTCTAAATAAATATTATCGGCTGATATAATTGAATTAATTATATAAGTCCAATACAGATGGGCTAAATAAAGGAATTTTTACCTTCTATAGCAAAGGTTAACACCTTATTTATTTTAAATAAATACCATTTAAAAAAATTATATTTTATAGATGCCTTTTAATGTTTATAGCAAAATATCTATTTTTGGTTACCTCCTACCCCTAAGCCACTAAATACGCTATTCAGTTATAATATTTTCTTTCTCTCTCTACTTTGATACATGTCATTCTCTTCCCTCAATCTAATTCACTACTCTCGGCCGCACCACCTTCTTTACCCAGAAAAATGTCATGTGCATCATCATATGTCGATGGTTCTTCATCAACCTCCTCATGTGGCGTTGTTCATGGCAACTGATGGCGGCGGCGCAATAGCCATTCCAGGCATGTGGCCTCCGTTGTTCATTTCTTTTTTGCCCTATTTTTGGATTTTGTGGAAGCTTAAAACTTCTCTTTATTGCACCCATAAAAATCCATCTAAATCACAAGAAAAAAAAGGGAAAAAAGTTTTTTTAATCAATTCCCTCCCTTTCCTGAATGTACTACATATTAGACATAATATCAAGAATTCAATAATGGAGTGGCGTCCGTTTGATGTCACTGTGATCTCCGCCGCAGGCATAAAAAAGGCGAATTTGCTCAACGGCGGATTCGCCGGAAATTAGGGTTTGCTCTTGAACAAAGACCATGGAATTTGGGACTGAGCAACTTGATTTTCTGTTAATATATTTCAATATATTTTCAATGTATCACGCTGTATTTTCGTGTATTTCACATTGTCTTTTTTTTCATTGTAATTCAATGTATCTCGTTGTACTCCATGTATTTCATTGTATTCACTATCTTTTTTTTTATTGTATTTCAATGTATCCCGCTGTATTCTATGTATTTCATTGTATTTCACTGTCTCGCTGTATGCCATGAATGTATTCATATATATTGTTTTTTAATTACTATAATTTTTGTATTCAGATGTATTATAATTTTTATGAAGATTGCTATGTTTTTGGGGTATTTTTCGGTTGAGAATCTTTTTTATAACTGAAAATACAAAATTTGTGTTATAATTGAGTTTGTTGAGTTATATTAGGAGTCTATTATGTTAATTGATTCACTTTCCGTTTAAAAAAGTATAATCCCTCGTTTCACGTCGTTAATACAGTCGAATACAATAATATGTCCAGCTGTAATCCTATGTTTCATGCTTTGAATACAGTCGAATACACTCGAATACAACAACTGATTAGCTAGACTTCCCTGATTCACGCCTATTTTTGCTACTGTATTCATGAATACAATAGCTTAAATACATCAAATACATCTTATAACCACAGAAAAGGTATCTATAATTCGTAATATAACAAATCGTATCTATAGATGGCTAATTACTACTAAAAGATAGTGCTTTATAAAAATTTCTCTTAAATAAATAAGTCTTAATCCATTGGGCTAGCCCATTTAATTGGGCTAAAGTCGACCACTTCATTAAGCCCAAGATGTCACCTTCCTAGAGGCCCAGCTTAATGCCACGTGTCAAATGACATGGCACGCCAAGTCAAACGAAAGAGCCAATAAGACCATGTCACGTGTCAAAATGACAAAGCAAGCCCAGTCACACTGAAAGGCCAATGAAATCGCGCCACGTGTGCAAGTGACATGTTCTGGCCAATCAAATGCGGTTATGTCACACTTCAATTTGATTGGTTGGAAAGAGTTTGTTCTTATCATGACTCTTCCCTTCGACAACTATAAATAGGGGTCTTCATAACTCAGAAAAGATACCAGAAGCTATAACAAGAAGCAAGAAAGAGCTCGTGGATCAAACGCTGCAAATTCCTCCACAAGTTTCAAGCTTCAAGCAATCAAGTTCAAGTTCAAGCAATCAAGTTCAACCTCAAGAACGAAGAACAAATCAAGTTCAGGCTCAAGAACGAAGAACAAATCAAGTTCAGGCTCAAGAACGAAGAACAAATCAAGTTCAAGTTCAAGCAATCAAACTCAAGATCAAGAACGAAGTCAAATCGAATACAAGGCATTCAAGATCAAGGCTACTTGTTCGTGATACAATTCGTGGCAACAATCTAAGTGTTCGTGACGGATAAATCAAATTCAAATTCAAGATCAAGCTCAAAGGCCCTTGAATTTATATTAAAAAAGTAGAATTAGAGGATTCATAGAGATTGTAACACTCAAATATTCGAAATAAAATACTACGATTGTTGCAATATTTTCGGTCTTGATTTTATTTTCTCGACGCAATCTATTGTCTATAACAGGAAAACAAGATGTGCACATGGATGCCCAGAGATTCAGCAAAAATGATCAATTTCAATTTCACGGATGCACTGAATTTTTTTCCAAAAATGAAAGATTCAATAGAAAAAAAATTCAGCATATACCACACTAGTGGAATTCCTCTGAACAGATGAATACATGTACAAATATCAACTACCTATTCTAAGTGGGATGCCTTTGAAGAACTTCAGGTTACCACATAGAATGCCTGAATTCTCCGGCGCCAGTGGAATAAAAGTAACGATAAAGTATCTGGAAGGGCGACAACAGCATAAAGAGAGTTATTTGTCTTGGCACAACCTCTGTACGGCAGATTATATAGCCAGTCTTTGATAGCCAAGATCCTCCAGTGCCAGTTCATCAAAACAACGGAATCAGCCACCGATTACCACAAATCAAATCAGCTACCAACTACCTGGAAATTATGGCTACTAGCCCAAAATAAAGTATAATCCTTGGGGCTATAATTAAGTTTTCAACGCTGCTAATTGGAGCTCGTAGGTTCACAAGGTTCTACATGAACCTGTTAAATGACAATTAAAGGAGGTTAATGCGCCTAGGGCTTTTTTCTTTTCCCTTTTTTCCCCTTATCCTATCTTAAGTCAAAAGCACAGCAAAATCATGCAAAACCCATGTAAGCAAACAGCAGGTATCAATGCAAGAAATCATCCTTTGGTCATGGAAACAAAGGCGCTTAAAGGCAATGGTGACAGACAGAATAATTTAAATGCAGGAACCATGACTTCTTATGGCTACAATTAAATTCACACGAGAAACCTGGCAGTGCTTTTGAAACTCTAGAACCTTCATACCAGGTAGGGGTGTGCATTCAAATCGGTTTATCGATAAATCGAATCGATTATTTGTTATCGATTTATCGATTTATCGATTTCGATTTCGAAATTTTCCTTATCGATTTCGATTTCGATTTTGTCCTCTTCGGTTATCGGTTTATCGGTAAACCGATAAGCTATACTAAAAAGACAAATATACCCTTATTCTATAATACTACCCTTTCCTTCACTTAAGTCCCTAACCGGCTAACCCTATTATTTCCTCCCTTCTTCAGCGCCGCTTTCTCTTCAGTCTTCAGTCTTCAGTCTTCAGTCTTCAGCGTTTTCTTTCAAAGTACAAACCTAGCTCTGTTCTATCGCCACTCGCCACTGTCAAACCGAGATCTAATATGTCGGAAAGTTAGTCGCCGTTGATTATTGCCGTTTCCGATACTCCTAATTTCTTTCTTCAACTTTTTCTTTTCTCTTCTATTTGAAGGAATGCCTTCTGTGTAAATCTTTCTGTTTCGTTATTATTGGTAGTAAAGAGTCTAATCTGTTTCGTTATCTTTCGTTATCTGTTTCGTTTCGTTATTCTTCGTTATTATCTTTCGTTCTGTTTCGTTATCTTCTATCGGAAAATCTTTCTGTGTAAATCTTTGCATTGTGAATGCCGTTTACCAACTTAATATAAACGTATCAATCCCAAGGCAGTTAGTGTCTAGCTGTCTAGGCATTAGTCAGTAATTAGTTAGTCACATCTACTTATTGTAAGTATATATAATTTTAGGATTTTCCAACTGTGTATAGCTCGAGCAAAACAACACAAGCTACAAGCCTACAACCGAGCTACATCAGTTCCTATCCTCAAAAAAATTCATTGCGACATTTAGTCGAGCAATATCAGGTAATACAGGGTAGTATTAACAGTTATATTAAAACAACAAATAGATGATACCATTCATTCCCCATAATAACCACATGATTCAAGTCCTACCCCGAAAAAAAGATTAACACCAAATGCCAAAAATCGACGCAAAGCTCTACTTTTCTTGGTTTTACACACACACACAAAAAAAAAATGAATCACACGATGTGAGTTTAAAAGGGACCATGTCTTGGCCAGGTTAATGAATCTGATAAAGAATCTAGCGTAGGGTGAGACAACTGTTAAAAGTAGTATGTATTTTTAAGCTGCCCTGAAGCTTTAGTTTGGAATGTATTCATGTATGTTGACTGCAAGTATGTGTAAATGAACTGAAGCTATTTTTTCCTAGTAATTTGATAAGGAACTTATTTAAATTGATTTCTTTCCAGCCATAATTTTTAGGTCAAGAGCGACGAGTGCTGACTTCGTGTTGCTTTGCACCTTTGCTTCATTCAACTCGTTTAAGACTGTAAGTTACATTCTTCATTCACTTCATATGGCTGAAAATGATAAAATTGATCAAGTGGTTGATGAAAGTAGAGGTTCTGAGTCTACACTGCTGCAACTACTCACTCGACAGTTACAAAACAAGCGAAAAAACGATCTCGGGCATGGGATTTTTTTGAAAAAAAAGTTGATGCTAAAGGAAATAATAAATATGCATGTAGATTTTGTGGACAAGAATATTTGAGACAAAAGGCAAAAGTATGACACAAATGAATAGTCATATCAGTAAATGTCCAAGGAATCCTTATAAAGTTGAAAAAGGTCAAAAACTATTACCATATCAAACAGTACCGGGGGGTAATAAAGGTGATCTTATTCCCATGGAAATTTGATCAAGAAGAGTGTAGGATGGCTTTGTGTCGTATGGTGATTGTTAATGAACTTCCATTTAGTTTTGTTGAGAAGGAACGCTTTAGAAACTTTATGAAAGTGGCACAACCTTGTTTTCATATTCCTTCTCGTACTACTGTTACACGGAATTGTTTTGCTCTTTTTAATGTGGAAAAAAATAAATTAATGAAGTTTCTTAAAAGGAACAAGTCAAAGAGTAAGTCTTACCACTGATACATGGACTTCTATTCAAAAAATTAACTATATGTGCATCACAGCCCATTGGATTGGATAGTGAATGGATTATGCATAAAAGAATTAACTTTTCTCCAATTACTAGTCACAAAGGTGAAGATATGGCAAGGTGTATTATTGATTATTTGCGTGAGTGGGGTTTGCAAAAGATTTTCACTGTCACAGTTGACAATGCTAGTTCAAATGATGTGACCGTGGAGAAGTTGTCTGACAAATTAGATGATTGGGGAACCAATTCCATGAATGGTCAACACTTTCACATGAGATGCATGGTTCATATTGTAAATCTTATTGTGAAAGATGGTTTAAAAGAGTCAGGTATTTCTATTGCTCGTGTTAGATGTGCAGTCAGATATATTAGACAGTCTCCTGGTAGGTTGAGGAAGTTCCAGGAATGTTGTGAAAGTGAAAATATTGTCAAAAAATGTTTATGCTTAGATGTTCCTACAAGGTGAAATTCCACCTACTTGATGTTGAGCAGGGCTATTGAATATGAATGTGCAATTAAAGAATATTCTGATCGTGATACCGGCTTGTCACATTATCTTATGTTTGATGCTATTTCAGATGGAAAGCCTGTAGGTATGCTTACAAGAACTGATTGGGATGATGTAAAGAGGAATTGCACAATTTCTTGAAATATTTTATAATCTCACTTTGAAGGTGTCCGGATCACTTTATGTAACATCAAATGCCCATTTCCTTGAAATTGGTCAAGTTGCTGTTTACTTAAATTGATTAATAACAACTCAAGATGAACTTTTGAGTGAGATGGCATCAAGTATGTGAAAAAATTTTGAGAAGTATTGGGGTGAACCAACAAAAATGAACAAAATAATTTTCATTGCTTGTGTTTTGGATCCTCGCTACAAGTTTACTACTGTTAGATTTGTACTTAAGAAGATGTTTGGAGATGAAGGGACAATTATTGAAAAAGAGGTTCATACTTATATGAGTTCATTGTTTAATGAGTATGTCTCTAAGTCGGTTTCAAAAGATACTGGTAGTAAAGTTTCTACCTCTTTGCCAAGCTCTTCATTCAGCACAATGGAAACTTCAACTCCTGGTTTAGGTGAACTTTTAGATGAAATAAGGAAACATAAAGCTGCAAGTGGAGGTGTAGATTCTAAAACAGAATTGGAAAAGTATCTTGCGGAAGATCCTGAAAATGAAAGGCCGGACTTTGATATCTTGGCTTGGTGGAAGATGAACTCACCTAGATTTCCTATTCTTGCTAAGATGGCTCGAGATGAGCTTGTTATTCCTATTTCAAGTGTGGCATCTAAAAGTGCATTTAGTACCGGAGGGCGTATTCTTGACCAATTTAGGAGTTCATTAACTCCTAAATTGGTTGAAACTCTAGTGTGCCTTCAAGATTGGCTTCGGAGTGAATCGCTTCCTGTAAATGTTGAAGAAGATTTAGATTTTCTCGAGACACTCGAGGAAGGTATGTATATTTTAATTAATTTTATTGTATTGCTTAAGATAGTTAAATAATATATTAATTGCTTGACTTGTTAATATATATTCTTATTAGATTTTACTAATCTTGGCAAAGAAGCTTCCACCGACGATGTTTGCTAGAGTTTGTTAGCTGCTATGTAAGTTCTCCATTTTAAGTAATATACTTGTAAAAGAATGTGATGTATTACAAAGTTCTTAATATTTTTCTCTTTAATAACTTGAGGGTTAATTATTGATTTGCTGCCCATTTGCAGATGGACTCAATGGCTCTTCTTCAGCTGCTTCCATGTGTTCGAGTATAGTCTTATTAAAGACAAGGCCTGATGACAATGCTTCCCAGATTATGAATTCAGTTTATGACATAAACTGACTTTTTCAAGGATTGCCACATGTGTCTTTGTCATTGCTGTCCTTTTTGTGTATTTGTGGATGCAATTATCTTATTCCCTGGACAATATTGTCCTCAACATTGTCCTCTGTGGCTTAATTGAAACAATACATAATACTTGGTTCATTTCTGTCACTTTCTTTGGGTTTTTAAGGAACTAATTAATGTTTCTACTACTTTTATTTTATACTATTGGAAGTTGCATTCATCACGCAGCCTTGGAAGTTGCTTGTGTCCATGTATTATTCAAGTGATGCACATTATTTTCTTCTCCATTGCCTTCTTGTCAAGGCAGTTTTCTACTCATCCTGGTAGGTCTACTTACCATATAAACTTTGGCCTTAATTATACATTTTAGTCAGGTACCCTTTTTTCTTTGATGTAGAAACAGGTATTTTTCTTTATTTGCGTATTCTTCTGTAGTCATCACAGCGATATACTTTCCGTTGAATCCCGCAAATTTTCTTATTGGTGTAATCGATAACCGAATCGATAAGCCCCAACAATCGATAAATTGAAATCGAAAAAGTTAAAACCTTATTGAAACGATAACGATAAGCATATATACAAATCGATAATCGATAAGTAATTGTCGATAAGGGTCAAAATCGAATATCGAATGCACACCCCTATTACCAGGACTTTCATCTTGGAGACACTACTAATTTATAAATACGGAAATACACAATATAGTGATGTACAGAGTGGAACTGCTTTTTCTTAAAGTCAGAATTGAACTGTTTTCTCGAGGGACACGAATTTTAAGAGGAAGAGATAAAAGTACCTAACGATATGGTATATATTAAAAAGGACTCCATGCTGGGTAACCAATAGCTGAATCTTCCGGAAATCAAAAGGCTTCTCAGAACATCAGGCGGCTAACTCTGATATTGGATTATAACAGCAGCAAAACAACTTACTCACCAATATTTTGTAGGAGCAAACTCGATAAGGTTTTCCAGTTCAGATTTGTCAAACTTACTTATATTCAAGAAATACATCATTCTAACTGGATACCAATTTGGGCTTCATCAAAAACTAAATGCCGTACAACCAAGAGAAAGTGGATTGTGTTTCACCCAGTACGCCAACCTTTGGGGGGGGGGGGGGG